AAGCGATATCTTATAATCTAACTTAAATCGATCGAACGAGCGATATGTGAAACATTACTCGTGTAACATTGATTGTAATTATCGAATTAGATTATCTATGGTATGGAGGGCCGTGATAGCTCAGTGTCCGGGCGCTCGCTTTCAAATCCCGACGCCGGCACAAACGATTATGCTGATTTTAAATGCTGAGCCGTAACGGAAAACATCGAAATAATAACGGAAAAGCGTCAAAGATACAAAGATATGTGAAGTCTGCCAATCCGCAGTGGTAAACTGTGTCCTATTACCCTTTGTGCAGAGGCCTTTTCAGGGCTAAGGCTGTTTCTTTATTTCATATGGTCGTGTCCCTTGTGACGTAACATATTTTCACTAGGTCACTCTCCGGCTACCTCTCTTTCTCTCTCTATCTCACTCTCTCTCAAACGATCCAAGCATGCATCAAGCGCTCCTAATAAACAGTTTTAAGTTAACACTCATTATTACGATAACCGAATCAAAATATATTGACCCTTCGTCTAAATTATTGCTTAATGTTCCTAAAAGTTTGATTCAAAGTAAGCCTTTGATCATCTCATTTCGTCTTTCGTTGACCCGAGATTTCTATGAATATGCAAATCTAATATCGTTATTTAAATTGGCCTCATTATATTTCAGTTTCGCGTCGATTTTATTTCACGCATTTTCTTTGCTTTTATCTACAATCCCAGACGGTCCGAACATTCTGCGGTTTTTGTGACTAGAAGACTATTAAGAAGAGCAAAGAAAAAAACGTAAACATTCTTTTATTAAGCATTATACGACTACTTGACGTAGTCGATAGTGACCCTACTACTGAAAAATTGTTGTGAGATATATATTGTGCACATAGTGTTCTACCAGTGTCTGGGTGTTTATACATCTATAATATGTATTTATTTATGGAAGTACGTTTAATAATGATTGTGAGTTACTCATAGTATACAAGCTTTGTTTAGTTTGGGACTGGATAACGTTGTGTAAAAATAGGGTCTCGAAATATTTATATTATTATAAAATTGACGACCTGAATGGCGTAGTCGGTAGTGTACCTGCCTCCTGGCCAGAGGGTGTGGGTTCGATCCCCACTACTGGAAAAATATTGTGTGATGAACATAGTGTTTTTCTAGTGTCTAGGTGTTTATATATGTATAATGTGTATTTATTTACAAGAGAAAAGTATGTTTAAGTATGTCTATCAGTTTTCTAGTACCCATCGTAGAAGCGTTGCTTAGATTGGGACTAGAGAATGTTGTGTAAAAAGAATGTATCCTAAAATCTCATATTATTATAAACTAAATTTAACATATTTCCGTGCCACCGCGTGTAATTGAAAACAAGTAACAAACTAAACACCCAATTGCGTATACAAAGTAATACTACGAACGTATCGTCATCTAATACTATGGCCAGTGTATGATATAGAATATTCAGCGCAAACGCAATAGACTTGGCAATGAAAGGGGCAAATATTGATTTAACACTCGTCGCGGGTTACGATTTCAACTCAAACAAAATCCATAAATTGCTGTTAAGTTGCAACACAACAATGTTGCAGTTAATGCTCGTCACAAAACAATATAGAAAAGAACATCTGTTTTCAACTGTGCCCTATCTCGGGTCAAGTGTATAAACGATAACGTATTGTAAAGACACCGCAATATAACGCACAAAACACAACGCGCAAAAACAGCAATAATGAGAAACGTTCACACTGGCAATTAGGCCAAAGATATGTGGTGGCTTATATCACAGCAAGCGAGCCTTTTTTTGAATATTAAATATTGCACAATTTCGACATCCCACAGACGATAGTAAAAATCCATACACTTGTAGGTTACATTACTAGCAGTAATTGTACGATTCAAATATTTCAATCCAATAAAAAGCAAGACCCGCTGTTCCGTGGGCTCTGTTTATAGTTTGAATGAAATCCAAGACTATTTAAAATAAACTTTATTACACGTTTAACAGAGTCTAAAGTCGCAACGTTTCGACGAAGCCATAAACGAGAGCGCGTCTCACCTCCAGAAACATCAATGGGCCGTGTCACAACACCCACAAACAGACGAGCAGCCAACGGCTCGGAGGGGGGTGGGGGTGGGGGGGATAGGTGACCTTGAAGTGCAGGGACACAGCACCAACACCGACATCGGAACACAGACACACACAGGCACACTGCCGACCCGTTGTCGAAACGCGCGCGCCACGACCGAGCGGCGCGGGAGTCGCGGCGACACTGAACGCTCTACTCAACACACCCCCCCCCCCCCCGCTCTTCTGACCCCAACACTACCCCCTAATACAACCTCCCCTCCCCCCCTCGACATGTGTCCAAACTCTCCTTTCGACAAGACGAAGAAAGCCTCCCCACACCATACAGAAGGGCGGCGTGAAGTTAACACTTCTGCGTTTCGCCTGACGAGTGTGGTAGCCGGGACATTATTAAAAGGAGCCAAAGCGTCTGCAACCCTGCGGGTGTTAACATCGTGTAACTCGCTTACTATCTTTTTACAAAAAAAAAACCACAAAGCCACCTTCTCACATAAATTAAACCACCCTCAGTATGTACCGAGAGCTTCCATCACTTATCCTCACCTAAGCGCGCGACACTGTCCCTCGTAGTCGAATCTCGCGAAAATCCCGCGGCCAGTTAGGACACTTCAGAGAACAAAGTCCATGAAGAACGAGCCCTGGTTTATCCGAAAACGACACTAAAAGGCACTCGATCACTAAAATTTATTGACTTTGACTCACAAATCGGACCACACGACAACCGACAACACTGATAGAGAAACGCCGAAACACAACGGAACATCGCGCAGACAAATCGGCACATTTGTTAGATACCTGCTTCGAATCCGAGCGCACGATGACAAAGTCTCGGCTGAACACCATCAAAGAAAGAAGAAGAGAAGTCGAGAAGAGAAACAGCCGTAAGACGCAACCACCGTCCGACGGTGAACGGCAGAGATTATAAACAAACCGCGTTTCGATGCGCTCCGCAACGATACCTCAACGTGCATACAGAAAGTCGCTCTTAAAATCAAAGCCACAAAGTCCAAACTCGATCGCCGCGCCGTCCGGCCATTAACGCAGGGATCGGAGAGCTCTCTATCAGGCAATTGATCCCGCCCTCAGACCCCGGCCGATAGCCCCTTAATCGAGGCGATTATAAAAATAAAACAAACGGACGCTGTCTCTTACTATACACCCCCCTTATGCTACCCCACCCCCCTCCATATCACCATCCCTCCCCCCCAAGTAAACAGCCAGTCACATCTCAAAGGAATCATCGCTTGTCCATCACTTTTTAGGGCGCTGTGATTCTTAATCTGGCTATGAAGAAAAGAAATCCAAAGATCCGTGCTACATGTCAATGATTAGCCCATCGGGTTATGGCAACTGACCATAATGATGACCAATGACAACCATGACGACGGATAAGCGGCGAGAAAGAGATATACGAATATAAATGATATACGCTAGAGAGGCAAACGAAATAATCAGATTACCAGAAGGAGAATAAACGGGCAGTGTTCAGAAATAGGTGAATGTCATATTTAAAATGTGCATGAAATAAAATCGATAGCGTAATACTACAGAGATTATATGTCACGTTGTTGTTACGTGTTTATTCAGCAGTGTAAATTTTGATACATACCATTACAGGATTAATTTACCTTAGTCGACGGACTTTATAAAAGAAACCAAATTCTTTTCTTAATCACTTACTAAATGAAAATCACTTTAGTCGTTTATCGCGTTTATAAAAACGCGATAAATGCGTAAAATAAGATTCATTTAATCATACTTCAAATATATTAAACTGTCAGATATAGTTTGCTCTCTCATACGCTCGCATACATTTACAGTCACTGTCCTATAATAATCATAGTAATGATTGCACGTCAAACATTTGTAGGCCGATAGCGACGTCAAACATTTATCTGCCTATCAGCTTCCTCGCTTATGCAAACCACAAAGTTAGCTGAAACTTTAATCGGCGTTAATTCGTCACCGCTTCGTTCTAGACGTAAACCGAACATATCGGGCAAATATAAATCCGTGATCAGTTGCTAAGCGATACTTTGGGTCTGAAGAAAACCCATCGGGAGTTGTGAGAGTTTCGCGAATTGCAGACGTACATCGATAATTTGGTTAGCGTCAATTAGGGGCTAAGCCAACACTTGTTGGAGTAGGTCAGGTCAACTTGGTGACAAGTGGACGTGACCGGATTGACATCGCTTCAAATAGTGTAGTGTCTTTTAAATTATAGCGAAATTATCTTTTTATTTTGTGCATATATAAATATATCTTCTAATGTTGTCTCTTCTAGATGCATAAAACTTTGTACTTTTAACCTCAACTACTTTATTATCTTCAAAATGTCCATTACAACACGGCGTAAATAAATGTAAAGCCCTTTTTTGGATGTAAGTTTCAGAGCACAAGGTTTTAATTTAAAAAGGCTTATGTTGTTAACTTAAAAAAAAAATTAAAAGAAAACTAAACAATTAGAACGGCTCTGAAACTGCAACCAATCGGTGTAGGTGCAGAATAGTTCCACACATATAAGGCTATATATGTATATAGCTATCAGCAATCAGGGTAAGTCCCACTGGACGCGAGTTTAGCCGTTTAGATTATTAAGTTAATCTGTAATTTTATTTAACATGTCATTGCGTATATTTAATTGATCACGCTAATAATATCTTATCTCTCTATGTGTGCGTTAATCGGTGGCTGTGTGTGTGTGTGTGTAAGTCGATGGGCGTGTCAATGGGCGTGCGAGCAGGGGAAAATTTTGTGTGTGTGTGTGTGTGTGTGTGTGAAAACGAGTGAGCTGTTGCGCAGTTTGTATGTCATCGGCGTCAGCTCGCTTTCCATCTTATATAAAAAAATCCGTAATCGCGGTGTGTGTGTGTGTGTGTGTGTGTGTGTGTGTGTGTGTGTGTGTGTGTCGGAGTGTGCGTAGCTGGCACCTGGTAGGTGTTCCACTGCTGCAGCAGGTGGTGGTGGCAGGCGCTGCAGGCGCGCACGGTGCCCTGCGCGTCCTTGGGCCGCGAGCGGGGCGGCCGCGGGTGCTGCTCCCCGAAGATCGGGAAGTACGGCTGCTTGCTCTGCAACACCACGGGCAGGCCCGTCCGCTTGACAAGTGGAAGTGCAACACTTGTGCGCTGCGACCGGTGAGCGAGGCGGCCGCGGCCCCACTTTATTAAGAGGTGGCTACGCGTCTGCAACACTACGTGTGTTGCAAATGTCCATGGTCGACTGGTATCACTTAACATTAGGCGAATCGCTAATCGCTAATCACACAACGGGTCTAGACTCTACGATTATTCAAGGTATCAAGATAACAAACTGATTATTAGGTAACACGATTGGCAACTATACTGACGTAATGCCAGGGATCTGTCGTTATCCACGTATAGTAATAAAATAAACATTTTTAATTTGATAAAAAAAAAAACTATTTTACAACTTAACGTAAGAGAGAGAGATAGAATGTCGAATAATAATCATTTTCGTAACTATAAACGTCGTATATATTTAACCTATTTTATACATTACACTAATGAAAATAAAGCATTTTATTGATTGGAAAATTTTTGTCCAATTCACAGAATAAAACATCGCTGAATAGGCCAAGCAACCACCGATATTGACGATAGCACGAAGATAACCCCGCCAGAGATAAATTCATAATGAAAAACTAAATTCTAAATATTAAAAGTATCTGTGGTGTAGATTATGAAGACTTGTAATAATAATAATAATGACCTCAATAAAAATATTATACGATAACCTTTTCGGTGTTTAAGGTCAATGGGAAGAAATTATTTAAACATTATCTTATGTTATAACGATGTACCAACTGTCTTCGTAATTACTATAAAAGGCAACCAGTATCGTGTATTTATAGTGAAATCATTGTTTACCCTAACAAGATCAAAGGCTAAGACTTCTTTATCTTATTTAACAGATAATTAATGAAACGTTATGAGTGAAAGACAGCTGTACAAATCTAATGAATAAATTCATACGAATCTATTAACGGACAACGCTCGACTAGAACATTTGGATTTAGCGATATGAAATGTTCCATGGGAGAGAGAAAAGGGGCAAAGGAGCAGCAGGATGCCTGACGGTAAGTGATCACCGCCACCCATGAACACCTGCAACACCCGAGGGCTCACAAATGCGTTGCCGGCCTTTTAGGAAAGGGTATGCTCTCTCCTTGAAGCTTCCCAGGTCGTAACGGTTCGGAAAGGCCGCCGGCGGAAGCTGGTTCCACAGAGTGGTTGTCGCCCCCCCCCCCCCCCCCCCCCCCCCCCCCCCCCCCCCCCCCCCCCCCCCCCCCCCCCCCCCCCCCCCCCCCCCCCCTGGCAAGAAATGCCTTGAAAATCGCGCTGTTGTGGAACGCTGGACATAGAGGTGATGTGGATGAATTTTTTCATTCTGGCGCCATTTCCGATGGAAAAACTCTTATCATATGTCCAGGAAGACTCTGATCATCGATACGCCTCATCCTACGTTGAATGCAAATGGAAGAAGCTGGTAGTAGGGGCCTCCCGCCCAGAAATGAGAACAGTACTCCATGTGGGCCGAATTTGCGCCTTATAGACGTTGAGCCGCCGTGGTACTGTCTCGCCTTGCTTGCACACCCAAGCTTCTTTGAGGCCAATTTGGCCTTACCTTCCAATTGACCGCGGAACTGGACGTTGCTCGAGATTTCGACGCCACGTATTTCGATACTAGCTGTGGCAGAAAGGGGAGTGTTCTCGAAATGAGGAGTTACGACAAATGGGGACTTTTTAGCGGTTAATGCGCCAACTTGTGTCTTTTGGGGTTGAATTGGACAAAGTTAAGTCGACCCCAGTCTGAGACTTTGGTTAACAAAGTCTCGATTTCAGACATAAGCTTGTTCCGGCTCACGTAAACGATTTCCCGAGAACTGTTAGCACGGCCAGTGTACGAGACATCTACAGTGTTAACATCCGCATAGCAATGAACATTCCCGATTTGCAACATGTCATTAATATGCCAAAGAAACAGAGTAGGAGACAGTACGCAGCCTTGTGGAACACCAGAATTGACATATTTAGGATCAGAGCATGCACCGTCGCGATGACCTTGATTCTCCGATCCGCCAAAAAGCTGGTGATCCAGTTACATAATTCATACTCGGGAAGCCCATAGGAAGGTAGCTTCGAAAGAAGCGCTTTGCGCCATATCCGATCAAAGGCCTTCGTTATGTCTAGACTGGCTGCAAGCGCTTAATATAATCTGTGCGACCACTATTAAAGGATTTTGGAAAGTCATTATCATGGTTCGAAAAATTGTAGGAAAATTTTGTCTCTACTTATGTTCGGACGTAAGAAGTTATACTTCTTTATTCTTTATTGTACAAAGAGAACAAGTAAAAACAAAGTTACAAGAAAAAAATGTACAAAGGCGAGCTTAACCCTAAAAAGAGTTTTCTTCCAACAAACTCTGACATAAGATTGATGAGAAACAAATCATGATATTATGATAGGTAGGTGTGTATAACTAGATATATTAATACTCTAAACCCTACTTTTACTATAAACTCTACTATTTATACTCTAAACTCTTTTTTTGCTTAACAAAGGAAAAATTACTAAAAATTTAACGCATCTGCGCCAGTACTCTTTGTGAAAAAAGCAATTAAATAATTTCTCTCTTCAATTAAACCAAATCTTCACCACTCTCATAATTTTTTCCTAAAGCGCCAAAAGAAGCATAACTTCAAAACAGTTGACATCAAGTCAGAATCTGACCGATGACCGATACAGCTGTAACTTCCGCTGCCTGAAGTATATACCACAGTACCCTGGGACAGTTAGTTGGTGGAATTCGACCTCTATCCGTTATGCAATCGGCCTCGAGGGAAAAACGGCGATACGGAAAGTTTTCCAACACAGACGGGTGTCGAGCGAACTTGACCCTTATGATAAGAGCATTAAGATCCTATTCAATTATAGCCTGGGTCGCGACCTGACCACTTCTAGCTGGGCACACAAGAGCCAAATAGACCGGTGCTGGACGCACGTCTATTGACTACGATTCTAACGGAACAAATACGACACTGTTTCTTGTGTTCTATTTCAATTAGACATGAATATACGTCACTGATCAGTTTCTCGTAGTTGAACATACCTTTATGTTCCTTACTCCCGGTTTCTAAAACTCTGATCATCGTAGAAGTCAGTTAATCAGCTGTCAAATGGCTTTTCAAATGTTACTTAAGTTGCCAAAAGGATTGTTAAACTCTTTGAATTGATCAGATAGATCTAATCTTCACATTTTTGTCGAGCTTTGGGAATATGGCAGAAATATAGGAGCAGGGGGTCCACCGGAACCAGCAAAAAAAAGTCTGGGTACCTCTGATATAAACCATCTGCTCACGATCTGAACTCCAATTTATAACATATGACCTTCTCATTCCCCAATTAACAGCAAAAATCCAGTCCTCAAAAACAATGTTAATCGGCAATTATGCCAAGGCTGCAATTAACTAATCGGCGTGCATTGCGATGACATGAATCGACCGTGGCTTATCGCGGGCGTGTTTTTATATTTTTAATTACACCAAATCCGCCGCCGGTGCAAAAAATTAACAATCGCCGAGTAAACAACGCGGCCGCAGTGGGGTTCACGGTTTATCGCGCGCCCGATAAATATTCCACGACGGCGAGTGATTTATTTGTGGGGTCATCTGTACGGCAACTTTGACCTTCGGACGCGTTTGCGAGTACGTATATAAGAAGCGTGCTTCTCATTCCTCGGGGGCGTGGAGTATACCACAGACTCTTATTCGCCGCGTAAGAGTGGACGGTAGATGGTGGTCGATTTGAGGGGTTTTCATTTTCTACTTTGACGACATGAAATAGTTTAGCTATTCAGTTTTACAGAGAACCGTATAGACAGTTAGGTGTGTTTGATTGACAATTACTAATCACCAGATCGGCAATAATTATCTGTGGGTCACACAAATACTTGTACCGTGTGGGAATCGAACCCACGACCACCGACGCCGAAGCCAATGGCTTAGCATAAGCGCGCTAATAACAACTACAACAACAAACGTTATTAGATACATTTCCCGTTGTTCACTAAGAGGGGCCATGCGAAACCTGTAGCTAAAGCAAGAACCGTGTGCCGCATCTGGAATGTCATCATCGACTACGTCATCACCCGACCCCGGGGCGCCCCTTTGCGCCGAGATTACGAGTGACGGAGCACAAAGCGAAAGGCTCCAACAATTACAGCCCAACATTAACGGCCACCGTATCTCGGGCCGCGGGGTCAGCCGCTTCTGACATCCGTCATTCAAGTCCACCCCTGTCCCGGAGATAAGGACCCGTTAGTAGAATCAATCGATCCAGGATCGTGTGATGGCTACGTCAGATTCATCGTCACCAAGACATCAAGAAAACATTTTTCTTTTTGTCCTTACTTTAGGATAACATTATCCTGTGGTGTAGGGACGCTTTTTTACAAACATAAATTTCACGCGGACAAACACCCAGATGCGAAACAACTATCTGTGGGCCACACAAATAGTTGTCCCCGTGTGGGAATCGAACTCACGACCCCCGTCGCCGAAGCCAATACCTTGGAAACGGTATCACGGAGTCTACATTTGACAAGATTTGTAACATTTCGTGAATCTCCCAATCTACCAACTGAACGAAATGTTATTTTTGGATTCGAGAATCGAGCGACGGTCATACTAGTGCTGTTAAATTCAACCTAAAAGCGGTACGATTCGTTAAACGTCACCACTCATAACAGCCCCGCTAATGTGGCAGTCACATCGGGTCGTCTGTCAACAGCTCTGCAATTCACACGAGTGCATAAAGGCAAACAAAAGCGGAGACGGCACTCAATTTTCATGTAACCACCGTTGCACAAGTCGCTTCGGCTGTTTGAAATAGTTTTGAAATTTGACCAAATATTGAAATTGGTCGCAAAATTTGCGGCAATCTCGTAAATAAACTTAAAGATGAATTTTCAAAGTCTAGTAATACCTATTGGGGATTTTAAAGAAATTATATAACAAGAAGTCCCTTTGCTACTACTCATATCGATCTTGGAAAGCCAATGAATGGATTAAAATAATTTCATTTTAAATCGAAACTTCTACCACCAGTTGATATGCTTCCAACACGAAATCTTCAATCAATCGATAGATGAGTGACTAAAGAAGCCGAGATTAAAAATCGCGCTGAAAACCACGATAGAGATAAAAATGAACAACAATGAATTCAGATCTTTGACGAGCCTAGACTAAGAGCTGCTTATACAGAGATATACGCCTAAAATGAGGATCATAGACGAGCTGCCATCGTTTGTTCTAACGGTAATCATGTGTTGCATCCAACGGGCATATATGCTTAGCAAAGACAGATTTAAAGTCGAATCGAGAATAAACACAATTGTTAAACGACAATTCCGAATACCGTGACTCTCGAGCTATCGTCACTCGGATAACCCAATCACGCGGCGGCGTGTGGGACCTGACGGCTGCTGAATAGAGGACAGAGTGTAATTCAATAGTACATTCACTTATCATAACAATATGGACGGACAGAAATAGACGGACTTAGCGACTGTCCACTGTGGCAGTGGAAAGTTCCCGTGAAAGCGTTACCACGTGATTCATTCGGTCATGGTATCGTGCGGTTGGATTCCATAATGGAAGCTTTGCATATCCTATCATGACATAGGAACACTGGAACTCATGGGTTCCAGTAAAGTTAAACAAAACGGACATTAAAATACATAATTTTCGACAATAGAAATCCTTACTAATATTATAAACGCTAATGTTTGTATTGATGGATGTTTGTTACTCTTTCACGCAAATACTACTGGATGGATTTTAATGAAACTTTACAACATATTCATCAGAATAAAACATAGGCTATAATTTATATACATATTTTATGTATATCTGCCTTTCTGTCTGAATGTTACGCCTTCAGCCTATTCTACTCAGACGTAGTCGCGGGCGGCAGCTAGTCATTGATAAAAGAATCCCACTGGCGCGGGTGAGAGCTAACTTTATATAAAACGACGACTGTGATGCGTAAATATAGTCAACGTCCTATCCTCAAAGCGATCGACAAGTTTAGCCTCGCAGAGTTCGAAGTGTTCGCGAAAGTAAACACGCTGTAGTGTTGTAAACTCGAGAGACACTCACGACTCGTGTCGCTGAATTATGTCACGCGTGTCCCAACTCCAATATGGTCAGGCACTAAATATAGATAACAAAGCAATTCCGTATGCTTGTACCATATGAATGGATCGATAGATAAAGCCGAAGACTGTCACTGGCAGCCTGTTTCTGACGAGTCGAATAAACGTCTGCATTATAGAAAGAGCCAAAGCTATCCGTTGAACTAATTCCGTTTGAACAACAACGATCAGACGAAGAAATGATATTAGAAACGTCAGTCCGTTTTGATAATGTTCCTTTGATCCGTGTCAATGATCTTGAAACTCTTTTTAAGATCATTTAAATGTATTCCAGATACGAGACAAAAATACAAATCCCTAGGAACCCACATAAAATACTCATCGGGGAAACGGAAAATAAAGAATCCAATTACCTCTCTTTTTAAAGATAAAAAAACTTGTACAACCATCTGTCTGGTTGTCCAAGTTGTCTTTTCTACCACTATCTCGATCTCTCTCTTTCGCAGAATTAAAATGTCGAGAATTTCAAAATTTCGATATTATATTATGATTGTATTCAGGCAAATACGAGCGTTAAAATCAATCAACCAAAAACGAAACAAATATGTAAAAACTTTGTAATTTTTAAACCGAAAAGCGGCGTGTAGTGTGACCTTGACTCACCATTACATTTTTATGATGTCCCTTAATTTCAGAATAAAATTTGATTATACTTTATAGCTATATTTATAGATATAAAAAATTAGCATTTCTTGTAGGCACTGAAAATACACGTGATTTCGGGTGGAGAGTGGCAGTACAGTCTTAAACCCCACCACGTATCACCAAGGGGGACGAGCGGGTTAATAAATTCTAAAAAAAACACATCACGTGATTAATGGACGGCTCCTTACTCGCGGTGATCACTTACAGATTCCGCTGCCCGTTCGCCCCCTTTTTCCCCATTAAAAAAAAAGTTCCCCTCGGTGTGTACGATACCAGCTTGTCGTTACGACTCCTTCGTGTTGAGGTTTCAGAGGGTGTGATCACACTTTCCATGAGTGCGAGTCTCCTGCCCCTTTTTCCTCCGCTGATCACACTTTCCCTCACCCTAGCCTGGCCTGCTGCCCGTTCGCCCCCTTTTTTCCCCCATTAAACAAAAAGTACGGCCGCCGCGTGTACATTACCAGCTTGTCCTTGGGCTCCTTCGTGTTGAGGTTGCAGAGGGTGCCGCGCTTGTACTCGTCGCCGCAGACGTAGCAGACCTCCGTCATGGAGTTCTTGTCGGGCATCGACAGGTCCAGGATGTCGCGGTCCGAGCTAGAGTTCGAGTTGCCCGAGTACACGGACACGGTGGACCTGGAAGCGGCGAGACCCGGCTCTTTAGGGTTCCGCACGCAAGGGGCGGAACGGGACTGATGTGTACTGTGCCCACTGTGTGGGTCAGTAATAAACGAGTGCTCTCGCGCAACGGTATCCTTTCAAAGTATATACACATATCACTGGCGAAGAGGTCGGATTACCCGCAAGTAAAAAAAAAAGGCTTACTTGGGAAATTTGACTATTTTTGACCACGAGTCCTGTGAGTGGTCAATATTTAAAGCTAGATTGTCACAATTTTTAATAATAAATAAAAATAGAAGAAGGAAACAATCGTTGCGTGAGAGCACTCGTTTATTACTGACCCACACAGTGAGCACAGTACACATCAGGATCCAAGATATTTGACCTTTTTCTCCCGGGACAGTAGTCGGCCATAGAGGGATATTTGCCCTAGCTTTCTGCATTGGCGAGGGCCTTTATATAGACGTGACGGGTAAGTGCTTCGTGTGAAGTGAATCGCCACACTTTTATCGGGGTTTTACCCTATTAGTAAGACTCCGCTGTTTGTCTGTTTGTCGGTCTGTCACCAGGCTGTATCTCATGAGCCGTGATAGTTAGACAGTTGAAATTTTCACATATAATGTATTTCTGTTGCCGCTGTAACAACGAATACTAAAAAACAGAATAAAAAGAATATTTAATTGGGGCTCCCATAGAACAGACATGATTTTGTGCCGTCTTTATGAATAACCGTACGGAAACCTTCGTGCGCGAGTCCGTCTCAAACTTGACTGTTTTTTTTTCTCTATTTGCATAGCGAGAAGGTGACTCGCATGATTCCGAGTGAACAACGGTAGAGCCGTTGCTAAGCTATGCTATACTAGTTCTTTCTAGAATTAAAAGAACATTTGTTAATAACTTAAAAGAAACTGTGTGAAAACACCGCTAAAAATTATTTTATTAATTGATAGAAATTGCACTATATCACGTACACAAAACCTTGCATTAAATTTATACGCTCCTAGTTTCATTAAATAAAACCCCATAAAAGCGAACCAAAGTGAGTTTCTCTTTAGAGCGTTTTTAATGCGGCATTATTACTATTAAAGGGTAACTGTGAGCGCTCTTAACATAAATTGCCCAATTATTTTGAACTTTAAATCGTTGTAGCCTTTAAAAGCGTTCCAGTTCTGAAAGGTTAAAAAGGCCCCGCTTTTGAGCATTAATTTTTGCGTAATCATACGATTTATCGTTACTATTATTATGAGCAAGTCTAAAAAGTAGAGTTTAATTGTTCGATATTACTTTGTTAATTGTCTTTGCTACATTGTGAATCATGTTGTAAGCGGTTTTGGCTAGATTAAATTTTACAATCGGCCGCCTGCCAGTCGTCCACCCTCCTTGGGAAACAGACCACCCTGAACAGGAAAATTGTTCCGTATCCATCGATAATTGTTCCTGTTCTGGTCATGAGATACCCATGGGTCACACAAATACTTGGCCAGTGTGGGGATCGAACTCATGGCACCGGAACCAATAGCCTAGCAGCGGCGCCACAGAATCATACATGTTTCATTCATTACATGTCATACATTTAATTGGTTTTAAAATAAACTAGCGATCCGCCCGGCTTCGGGTGCAGTGTATTATACATATAAACCTTCCTCTTGAATCATTCTATCTAAGCATACATAGGGACAGACAGACAGCGGGACGACTTTGTTTCATACAAAGGTCTCACCTGACCGCGTCGAGGTAGCCCACCGGCTCGGAGGCGCCCGAGTGCTGCGAGCCCACCGATATGACGGAGGGGTCCCTCGCCCGGAGGTCCAGCACGCCCTCCTCGTCGGCCGCGGCGACGCCCACCGCGCCGTACCTCTGCGGCGCCATTAGCGACTGCGCTCGTCAACCGTTCGTTGCATCGTCACACAACAATATAACGAATCGAATCAAATCGAAAATATGTTTATTCAAATGGACGCTTATGAATCGTCAAATTTTACATAAAAAATTATATATGTAGGTTCGTGAGGTACCAAACTAACGCTATTAATCGTTAAATCGGTGAAAATTCTATACGACTTAACCCTACGGTCTTTTGAGGCCGAGTCTGCTCTTTATTGATAGGTTTTGGATATTTGATATTCAGAGACATTTACAACCGGTGCTGAGAAGTGGTTTCTTTGCAATATCTGGCCTATCTCGTGTTAGATTTCAAATATATCACAGACGAACACATCAAGTTTAATTGTGTGAAAATTAATCGGTCACTGAACATCACTCGAGTACAAAATTTTTTTTTTAACTACAAGATGAAGAGTATACAAAAACAGTAGTTTACAGAGCACCACTGATTAGACAAGTTATTTGCGAAATATCTTGTGTGCATGACATGACATAATGTTAAGCAATTATCAAGAAATAAATTCAGTTTATATCAGTCAGCTCCGATTTGGCTCTGTGAGCACGCGCCAAATATCACGCCGAATATCACGGTGATATAGTTTACATTTCTTATTTACAATATTAAAACAGGTATTACAAGTAACAATGATAATGTTCATAAATATAATTAATTGGCCTTTAAAATATGCAACATCATAATATTCTGAGTAATTATGTTGACTGAATGGTGACTTGGAAATTATAATAAGTACAAGTTGACTTTTAAATATGAAAATCTAGTCATGGGCACGAATATAAGTCCCAGCAGTGGGATATGTATAGGCTGTTATTTTACTTCGTCATATAATCGGTGTTCTCAAAACATTTAAAGTCCGCTAAATCCGCAGTGGGATCGCGTGGCCGACTATGGCCTTTGCCCAGCAGTGAGACATATATAGGCTGTTACTTTACTTCGACATATACAGGTGTTCACTTACGTTGTTGAACTTGACGTTATGATTCGTGTCCGGATCCTTTGGTCGCGCGGTGACGTTTGCGTTCGGAGTGGAGTTGACCGCCGCGTTGGCGTTGGAGTTGGGGGCGTTCTGGTTGGCGTTGGAGTTGGCGTTGGCGTTGGAATTGGGGGCGGCCGCGGCCGATGGGGGCCGGGGCGGCGGCGGCTCGGGGGCGCGGGGCGCCGCGGCGCCGGGCGTGCCCGCCTCCTCCCGGCCCCCGGCCCCCGTCTCGGCGCCCAAGCCCAGCACCTGGGCCGCGTACTCCCCTTGGAACGACATGTCCGCGCCTGCAACAACGCGCACCGATCACCCAGATGTCCCAGACGCCTCTCCCCTTCGGACAAGCTTCAGCATCTATCGTCTGAACGTGGCTCTTGACCGCCAAGTTAACTTTTTTTATGTGACAAAGTTTCAATCGAGCTGGCGGTCTTCACTCGGTGTCATGACCACCGCCCGTGGACATCTATCTACAACAGCCGAGGGCTTGCTTATGCGTTGAAGTTAGGGGCCCACATTTTTAAAGGTTGACAACCTTGTCGCGCGGCACGGTTGGCAACCTTTAAAAATGTTGACCCTTAACTTAAAGATGTGTGAAAATATCGTTGTTTTTTTTTTTGAAATTTTAGCAAACGAGCTGGCTTCTCACCTGATTCTAAGCGATAAGCCGCAGTGTTGCAGATAGATGCGTTGACGACTATTTAAAAATTCGGTGCCGGTTACCTCACTTACCAGACGTAACGTGAAACTATATACTTCCACTTCAGGCCGATCTGCTGTGAGACCGTGGCAATTCCACGGACGAGCCTGCCCATTCGTGCAACAGCTGAAACTGTTGCATGACCCCACCACCATAAAAACTTTACGTAAATACGGAATACTCTATGTTTTATAGTCAGTACGTTACGATATGACTGTGACGTGCAACACTCCCTCGTCAGATTGCACTTTATAATGTGGCAGGTCGATTCGACGCAATGCATTAACGAATCAAAATAGGAATCGTTAAAATTATTCAAAGCGTGCTTTTTTAAAATTGATTCATTTTGACAATACAAACTTAGTCCTGTTCTTTGAAGGAATTATTTGGCACAATATTGCATATCTCAAGGACTTAAACACTTCCTATTTTATTTTGAGGGCCAAGGAAACTAATATGGGCCCACAGGAGAACTTAACCGAAACTAATGCAAAATAAAAAATTTTAAAATCGGTTCATACCTGACGGAGTTTTGAGGCAACAAACATAAAACATGTCCTTTCTTCAAGTTGGTACAAATTTACGCAGATTAACCTAGCTATCGGTGATTCCTTCAGCAGATCTGTTCATTTCATAAAAATGAACGCAGTTAAACTTAGCTGATCCCTACAGCAGATCTGTTCATATAATAAAAGTGTTAACGAGGGTAACACACTCAATGATAAAAGAAACAAAAGAGCCGCGATTGTAACCAAACTGTTCGAATTTTTTTACAAGAACAACAATTCTAATGCAAACAATATTTAGGTGTACATACATATGTATGTATATTCTTTACATATGTAATGTCATCATAAAAGTTTACGATAACATTAATAAATATCAACTATCAAAATAGATACGAGTTTTATTACATTATGTAACGACGCAATCGAAAGAAAAAAACATCAATCATATTACGTAAACAGTTTTTGTTGAAATGAAACCGTTCCACATCTACTATCAACAATAACATTTCTATTACGAGAAGCCTACCGTGCTCTTCGATTGTCATGGATTAATATATTTCCTTTCAAAGATTTCGAATGAATGAATGATCTTTTCTCGGGGAACGCGGACCTTATTACCTATTATGCATATTCTTAATTTCGAAGTATATTTTGTGTGTATGATTTTCTTAGAGTTATTAATAAGCCTGGTGAATATGGAGTAATGGTGAACGGTGGCGAACATACCCTAATACCCATGAGCATCCTCATTAATACCCTTGATCAAGACATGTATATTGTACTTTTTGAAAAATATCCATTATAAAAATATCTTGGTTTTGATTTAAATAAAAATATTATTATAATTTTTTTATTTATCCTATACGGGTAACAAAACCCTATAAGGACGTTCCACACACTCAAATTTCACACGCACGGATACCATTATCCAGAGCAGTCACAAATCTGAACTGACGACCCACATACGCGCAGAAGCCAATCGCTTCGGCTACTGTTCGTCCAAGTTGTATGTGTACTCCGTTAGCGGTTTCATTAGCACATCGAGTGTAAATAGCCGGGAGAGCTTGTAATTTCAACACGGGCACCGTGGACACGAAACTCGCGTACCGGACCGTTCCGATGTATCGATGCGGATATCGATAAGAGAGCGAAAGTGTGCGTAGATACACGTCGGTATCGTGAACTGTTTCGTATTCCGCTTATTCAGACGAGACCGGTTCAGCTTACGCCTCGACGGCGAGCAGTGTTTGTAGATACCATAGATTGCTAAATTTACCATAGATTCCCAAGGAGAGTTGACGTCAGACAGGCGTCCGGTCATAAAAATAAAGCCTATAACTGAAATAACAACATTCGTTTTTTGTTCATCCGTTTTTTCATTACGAAAATAAATGATGGACCTGGTCTGCCGACGCCACCTAAGGATTAAGGGAGGAGAATGAAGAAGAAGACCATAGATTATTAAATAAGACTATTTATGTGAAAAGTTGTCAAGCTAGCTTAGCAAGTGAAAAGTTGCCGCCCGTGGACATCTGCCACGCCCGAGGGTTACAGATGCGTTGACAACCTTTTGAAAATTGGGCTCCGGCTACCTCACTCACCAGACGAAACCCGAAAGTATTTGTCATACTTCCACTTTACGCTGGTCTTCTGTAAGGTCGTGGTACTTACCCGGACGGGCCTGCCCATTCATGCAACAGCCGAGGCTGCTGCGTGGCCCTACCACGTAAGTGTTAAGTGATTACCGCCGCCCATGGACACTGTCAGCACCTGAGGTATTGCAGATGCGTGCCAAATTTTAATAAAGAATCCAGACGAATCTCTTACAGTATAAAACATCCACTTCGCGCCGTGATGCCTTAGTGCTTTCCCGGACGAACTGCCCATTCGTGCAACAGTGGAAGCTGCCGTGTGGCCCGGCCCTTTCACAGATAATATCACTGATACTTTAAATTGCCCCGATGCTTCATAAAAGTTTAGCCCAGGTCACATGACAGGTTGAGATCTTTGACATGGCATTGTCAAAGTTAAACCATGCTCCCGGGGGCGTTTACAGTGACTTAAAAAGTAAGACGAAAAGTAGAAGTGTAAGAATTCTACTGTACCTCACAGTAGACCGGCGTGAATTATAATTCTTTCATTACCACCCACTGAGGCAAGTGAAGACGTTGCGTGGCCCTAATACATACAGCTAAAACGATTTATATATTTTTTGTTTCAACATCTACGCATACCAAAGAGCGCGGCTCGACTATTCGAATATGTCGGTACAAAGTCGACTGTGTCGTGTCGTGCGAGCATAGAAGTCGGGGTGCACCGCGCATTAGGGATACACGAAATTGAACCGTATAACTATGGTCGTAAGGCAGGCTTTGTATTGGCACCGAAGCGACATCCGCACTGACGTCCCACTGACCGAGTGCCGACAACTGTTTATTTTAAACCCTTACATTGTATGAAACGCCTCAGCACAAATACGCAAATTTTATACAATTATTTTATACAATATACAATACAGTTCCAATCCCGTCATGGGTTTTGATTTACACTGACACTGCAAGATCTCAAGATATACTATAAGCTAATTTTGCGGAGTTGTGAATAAAACAGAAGATAAAATAATTGATTTACTGTAATATCTATACATCTATACTATAATATAATAAAGCTGAGGTACTTGTTTGAGGTAGTCGGATTTGAAAAAATCTATTTGCATTTGATAGCCCAATTCTTGAGGAAGATTATAGGCCCTGTAACCTTCCTAATACCCTACAATATAGGATATCTATCAACGCTCCGACCTACGGGGGCAAAGCAGAAACGTTTCTCGCCGATGAAATCGCATGGAACAGCTAGTTAAGACAAGAAAATTCAGACTATCCCTTAAAGATCAAAAGCCAAAATAAAACACGATAAAACCCGTAAAATGTTTTCATTTATCCGTGTGAAGTAGTCGCGTAAATGCAAGAAACCAAAACAATTCTATTCCTACAGTGAGAAACGAACCGGAGACCTCGAACCGCAGAGACGTCAACCGCAGCTCCAACGGTTCACCGATGCAATTGCCCGCTGCACAAACGGCGCGTTGTTACATAAATTCGGTTCGAACGAAACCGCTTCGGTCGGGTCGGTTGGCGCACGGCGCGTGATTCGCGTCGATTGGTCGTTTCAGTGTTATCACTGCGACCGCCTCTAGAATTTTTCTTTTTTAAGTTTTTTTTTTATGTGAAAAGTTGCCAAACGAGCAGACGGTTCACCTGATGGTAAGTGAATACCGACACCCATGGACATCTGCTACACCCGAGGGTTACAGATGCGTTGACAACCTTTTGAAAATTGGGCTCCGGCTACCTCACTCACCAGACGAAACGCGAAAGTATTTGCCATACTTCCACTTTACGCCGGCCTTCTGTTAGCTCCTGGTACTTACACGGACGGACCTGCCCATTCGTGCAACAGCGAACACTGTTGCGCGCCTACCACAGCTTTCTACCGAAACATTAGTTGTATTTTGACGGTCAATAAGTGAGTGTAATCCTTCTATATTGAATAAAGATATTTGAATTTTAATTCATTTATTTTAGAAACAAACTCATGTCCTTCCAAATAGCCGCTCTATTTGAGGCAAAGTTATGTCACGCCGGCAGTTGAGGCACATTTGGAACGGCTAAAGCACAGCCGTGTTTTATAGCTATACAGTCGCCCTAAATTGGCGACTCGCGCGGGCCGTGCTATAAAAATGCCATACGCCACTAAAAGAGCAATTAGGCCGGAACACGTTAAAACGACGGTGACCCGCTATGTGCAGTGGTTAAGCGGTGAGCCACGACGCAGCGAGTATTGGCTTCGATGCCGATCGTCGGTTTCAAATACAAGTATTCGTTTGTATATTTATAATATGTTGTAGTATCATTTTAAAGACTACAAACAAAATCTCACGTTGTTTTTGAGGTGTCAGAGATAATCATTTAGTGACAAATCTGGGTGGCATTCCTGATGATCTACTAGGAGAAACTATTTTTTTTTATTTATTAATCACAAAAAATATACAAAGAATAGGCTTACATAGCTATTCTCACCA